CAAGGACTTATTTGTTCCAAAAATTGTCCAATGACTTATTTAACATATTTTGGAATGTTCAAGGACTTATTTAACATGTTTTGGAAAGTTCAAGGACTTATTTGTTCTCAAAAAAAGTTCAAGGACTTAATCATTCCAAACAAGAAAGTTCATTGGTTTTTATTGTACTTTTCCCTTTTTTCAATTCATAAAGTTATTATATATTATTTAATTAGCAAGTTCGGATTTCTTCATCCTGGCATGGGACACAATAAGGACGAAAGACGAGTTCCAGAAAGCACCTAGCTGTCGAGCTAGTTTTGACTAGCGCAAGGAGGMTAAAGGAAGGGTAGGAGCTATCCAGTAGAATGCTAATATTTAGAAACTTTATAAACCATAACTAGGGGCCGTTTACCAAACGCTTATCCGGGTATGTGCTTACCAAGTCACGTTACCTCACCGGATGAATATGGTAAAGACCAAGAATCCTACCCGATAAGAATGACACAAGGACCAAGAGTCTTACCCGGTAAGTGAGGGCGACGATTCTTACCATGGTAAGCGCTTACCGGGTAAATTTTGCATACGATGTCGTTTTGGTGGACTAAAATCTTACCCGGTAAGTAAATAATAGAGTTAAATTTTACTGGTAAGCACTTATCGGTTAAGTGTTTGATAAACGGCTCCTTATTCTCATCAATGTTTTGTAAGGATTACTAATTGACGAAATGGTAAATATAAATGTTGTCATCCTCTTTAGATAACCTAAAATACGTCGTCTTGAATTCCTTTTCACAACTGAATGATACGGGTTTAGGCATGGAGGATAGGGCTTAAATGTTCCTGGAAGTCCACTGTCGGATCAATGGAGGGTGTCGTGTTTAAACGTGAGTAACTTTTGCTGTTGGACTTCATTTCAAGCCAACGTTAGGCCGAATCGAAGCTACGAGCGACGAGCATGCCGTGGATAGGACTTCACCTACGGGATTTTCGAGGTCAAAAAACCTCGTTTTGGCATGTTAAACACTTTTATATTTTGTCAATTTCAATCATTTTTTGTTTGGATTTTTTGTATGTTTAATCCATCGTCTCTTAGGCCCATCACTTTTTAAACTCCATTTATTTGCTCGTTAAAAGTATTTGGATGATCTAAAGATGAACGAAACACCTTTTTTTTATATCCAAATTATTGTGTTATTCAAAATCACATTTAATCGAAAATGTAAACATTGGCTATGATTGTGTTTTAAATTATTAACTTTTTAAATAAATTTTAAACAAAAAAAAAAATGAAATTCATTATATATCATAACTTAATATAAATAAAATTTATAATATATTAACCAATATTAAAACTAAAATATCACTAACAATCAAACTAAATTTGTATAAATATCAATTATCAAACTTGACAGCTAGCTTGTATCGAAAATAGTTTAATATGAAATTGGTGTAAATGAATAGTATAACATAAACTTGGTGTTTTAGGGGCCCGATAAGTATTTACTAAGCAATTTTTCTTACCGAATGAACATGGCAAGGGACAAGAATCTTATCTGGTAAGAGCGATGATAAGGATGGAGAGTCTTAACCGGTAAGTGAGGGTGACGACTCTTACCCGGGTAAACGCTCACCAGATAACTTGTTGCATAAATACGTTTTGATGTACTACAATTTTACCCGGTAAAATAAATTATAGTGTTGATTCCTAACGATAAACGCTTACCGGGTAAGCATTTAAGTAAAAGGCCCTTTTTACTATTAATCACCGTCAAAATAGTGAAAAAATTGGTGCTGAATTGGAGTGAAATAGTGTAAAATTTAGTAGTCGGTTGGAGAGTCTTCAACCCCAAAACCATTTTTGAGTTAAGATACCAACTTTTGAGGACTATTTTTTCTCAATTAAACCTTAAATGAGGATTTTATTAACATAGCCTTATATTAAATTTAGTGATATTTTTGTATATGATAGTGGCATTCTGAAATATATTGAAATATTATGGATTTTAAAAACTGTAAGGTCATTCAGCTGACTGACCTAATTTTTGACGACTCCAAATTGGTGTCGGAGTTATTTAAAAGAATAATCTTTTGGCGGATAGTTTTTTTTAAATATATGAACTTACCGTTTATAAAACACTTACCCGGTACATACTTACCTGTAAAATTCAATACTATTATTTACTTACCGGGTAAGATTTTAGTCAACAAAAACGGCTTTCGATACAACAATTTACCCGGTAAGAGCTTACCGTGGTAAGAGTCATTGCCCTCACTTACCGGGTAAGACTCTCAGTCCTTGCCTCGTTCTTACCGGGTAAGATTTTTTGTCCTTACCATATTCATCCGATAAGGTAATATAACTTGATAAGTACTTACCCAAGTAAGTATTTGGTAAACGACACCTTAGATTATAAACTAACTTTCTGAAATACTACTTCAGATAACTTATTAGAATTTTTTTCTCCAACTATGCCCGTTATATTTTATATAAATGCCCCTTATATTAAGTCATTTTATATTCATTACAACAAAATTGGGTTTATGGGACACATAAAATATATAAGTGTTCTAATATAATGTTTTATATGACTTACAGTTTATATGACCAAAGCATAAAGCATCATATAAGTGTTACAATAAGTTTATATGACGTTTTTAGATGTTTTAACAAACTTTTGTGACACTTTATAAATAGTGTCATGTCACTATTTGAAAAAATGTCTTGTAAAAAGACTTGTTAAAACAACCAAACTTTTATATATAACATTTTATGATTTGGTCATATAAAACACTCTAATAGAATACTTATATATTTTAGGCATCCTATAAATACAATTTTATTGTAGTAATTGTCATCTATCTCATCAACTAGCTTTTATTAACATGACTAGCTTATTAGCTAACAACGGGTGAGTTAGCCAACCATAGCCAATGTGATTTTGGGCCTTATTTACTTAATTATCATGCACAGGATTGAAACCACCCCACCATTAATCCATTATTGATATTCTTTTTGTATAGTGATGAATCATGTATGTGTTTTTGGAATTTTAACTGATTAAACCATTGTTGATATTTCAAATTCATAATCAGTTAAAATTCCAAAAATCAGTAGGTTTGTAATTTACTAATTACAAAACGTTGTTGTTACAATGGTTTAATGCAGTCGACATCAAACGGAACTCGTTTGACTTACAAAAGTCAAAATATAGACTCATGCTTTTAGATGGATGAAGGATTAATATAAATAGAACTTTATAAGAATGAAGCTTTTATGTTGTAATTCAATTTTTCTATAGGCTTGCAAATACCTTTTTGTATTCCAAGCAACATAACGATCAATCTTGATGATCGTTATCACTTTCAGAATCTGCAAAATGAAAATAAGAATAACAGAAAACCGTCACATGGTAGACCTATGGTATAGACCATCGATGGTTGTAGATACAAATAATCAAATCATTAGCAAAAGACCATAAGGGGGGATTTGGTTGGAACCATGTTTTATTGAAGGAACGAAATTTGTCAAAGGAATTGGAATCTGATAGGAATTTGTATGAAATGTTATCAGGTTTATATAAGTAACTTGAATTTAACTTCATGATTCAAGTAAAATGTCGACTATTTGTCAATTACTTAAAATATTATTCAGTAATAACGTATAAAGAATCTTGGTGACTAATCAACTTCACTCGTAATAATGCTAGCATACAAATAGAAAAGTTTTACTTAATAAGCTAGTTGTTTACCGTGATAAGCTTAATAAACTAATCATGTTTAGTAAAACCTAGGTGATACGGTAGATGACAATGTAATATGACATAAAACGACTTGTTAAAAATTTACTTGGAATAATATAAGGGACATAAATTAAATGGAAAAAGTGGAAAAGCCCCTCGAGCTTGTTGAAACACTATTTGAAAGTAGCTTTTGAAAAAACTAGCTCATGACCAACCAAACGGGCCTTTAACATGTGTTCAAAGTTAAAGATTGCACTTAGTGAAAGCATATGCAAGTAACACAACAATGCATACCTAGAAGCAACATTACTTAACTGAAGTAATATGATTCGATAAGCTAGCATTCGTGATTGCAACTGCAAATAATCACAAAAGCGAAGTAGCTCACCAGAACGAACGTCGTCACTAAGTTTGCCTCTATCTTGGATTTGTTTAACAAGCATTCGGTAGATCAGCACCCACCAATAGATGTGAAGAACAAGCAAGCAGAAAAGCAGAGTGTTAAACACATAGTAGTGGACTGGCCCTTCTGGAAATTCCTTCTCTTTATCTAAAGTTTGAAGAACTTCATAACTGCAACAAGAAAAAAGAAACAGACATATAGTATTAAGCACTCCCTCTGGCTTTTAAGCTGTTTTCAAACTTCTTTTCAATTTACCATCCAATCAAGTGTTTTTATAGGCTCCAAGATAGTCGAACTACTAAAATATATATGTATAAAGCATCCTAATCTAACCTTGTACTCCACAAGATCCAAAATGGGTAATAAATAAGGCGAAGCACGATCCATGATACCACGAACAGAATGAAAGAAAAGTTTGCAAGCGCTTCAGCGCCGCTGTATTTAGACATCTTCCCTACTTCAAGAAAGACATCACTTGCATCATGAAGAGCTAAAACAACCGAGCCAACACGAGCAAACCTGCAACAAGTATAGACTAAGAAAACGTGAGAACATGTGGAACCCCATTAAATACCCTCCAAAAGAGCCCTTGAAGATCAATATATATAATTCTAGCCAATGTCAGACAGAGGCTAGACTGAAAAAAGATTGTTCCGTTAGACCTTGGCTCTGATACCATGTGAGAATATGTAGAATTTCATTAGATTACTCTCCAATCCAAAAGAGCTCTTGAGGAGAGAAGGGATGTTCCAACATATATATATATATATAAGAAATGGTAGAAACGTGGTACTCTTAACACTTTGCATCAAGCCATATGGTATCAGAACAATAGTTTGAATGCATTATCAAAGAGCAATGTAGAAGATAACAAGTAGCAGCAACTCATTATCACTGAGAAAGCACCTGAACATATAAGACATTGCAATAAGAAAGGTAGATGCAACATGATGCCCCATCGACACACCAAAATCAGATCGTCTTGTCTCCCAGAAAATTAAAGCAAATATCGAATATGCGTAGAATCCACCCACATACATGTACAAAGCTTTCAACTTTAACCTGAAAATCAAAGTAAACCATAACTAAAGAATCAAAATCATCAACCCAAAACAAGATTGGTTCTGCATTACTATGAATCTCATATTTTATATAATTAAATGGTAATCCTACTTCATTTTCTGGTGAGGCCATCTCTGATTGCCAGGACCTATCCAAAAGTAAGATGTGTTAGTGAACCAAGGCTCATCATAAGTTACAGCCAAAGCTAGGATTTCGGCCGAAAGATAGTATACACATTTCCAGGCCGATTCCTTAAACTTTCGTATCTTCTTGTTCCTTTCTTCTGTCTCAATATCCTGTCCATTGTTATATATTAACCGCCTTCCGACAACCTGCAACGTGTAACTTCATCGTAAAAATTAATTCATGTCTTCATATATACCGGTATTCTTGATATAAAAAAATAACAGATGGTAAATTGTGTAAGCATAATTGTCTGTAAATCTTTCAAATCCTCAAATTGTTTGTTTCATCTATATCAATTATCGCCAATTTCCCTTTCAAAAGATTTAAAACTTAGAATTACTTTTTTGTAGATAATGATCCATGATAACATTGATTCAGGTTGACAAATAGTCGAACACTTGAGCGACTAATATATGCATTTTTGGTGTTAATTTTGGAACCAAACCCAATCAAACATTGCATGTGCGCTCAAATTCATATCCTTAATATATTGTTTACCCGTTGAGTAAATCTAATAAAGAAATTTAGGAACAGTAAGCCAATTGAATTAAACAACTAACTATATATTGGTGATGGGATCAGAAAGAATTACCTCGAAAACGAGTCTGTCGAGAAAAAATCGAACAGCTGGGAAGAAGATAGCAAAGAGTGGAAGAAGTAGGAAATCTTCATAAGCTGGGAACGATTCATGTCCGAAATCGATCGAGCTTAAACCATCAATCACACCCATGTTATGAAAGATGATTCTTTAGTTGAAACTGGCGTCAAATTAAGTGAGATAATGGAGATTAAGTAGAATGAAAGCAAGGAGAAAGTTAGCATCAAGAAAACTGTGATATCCATGTGCGTGCAGTTAGGGAGTAGGTCCTGAAGAACGGAACCGGTTTTCAAACCAAAATCAATTCCCTCTCACTTTCTTCAACCTTTGTATTTATAGTGATTCTGATTGAAGTAATGCAACCGCAAAGTAATTAAACAATATATCGATTCTCAGTAATTTCAAACAACCAAATGTTACTAATATAGGTCCGGTTCAAATGTTGATCAAATTTATTACGAACGTAAATTGACATATATGAACTTTTGTGTCAATTACGAACACAAAAATTGACATATATGAACACTTGTATCAATTACGAACACAGATTGATATATATGTACAGTTGGTATAAATATGAACACACATACCGACATAAATGAACATACGAAAGATGATAAACATGTGTGACCATATGAACACAAATTCACATATATGAACATTCGTACAACTATATGAACTCAACTCGACATATATGAACCCTTGTGTCAATTACAAACAGAAATTGACATATATGAACCTTTGTGTCAAATACAAACACAGATTGACATATATGCACACTTGTGTCGTTTACGGCTTTTTTCATATACACCCCTCTTCATACATGAACAATTTCTATAAAAATCGAATACTTGTTCACGTATGAACCATTAACAAAAAAAACTGTAGAAAAATCTGGCCTCGGGGATCTTGCTATTGGTTTTGATTCGATGACGAGATTAATTCTCGGATAGTTACACTGTTATTAATGGGCAGTTACAAAACATTTCATTGTCATTAATGGGCGGTTACAAAACATCTTATTGTCATTAATGGACAACTAATTTTTTCCCCCAAAATATCCTTGTAAATATTGTTCACTTATGTTACCTTGTCTATGTGTGCAATTAATTACATTTTTATGTCATTAATGATCTTAACCACAAATTTCAAAGATCAATGACGAAGATTGGTTAACAAAGTTAACACAATAAATTTGGTTAACATTTGAACTAGCCCATATATATATATATATATAGGGGTCTATTCAAGGGAGAACTGAGTTGTTTGTGGTAACTGTGAGAACCAATATTAACCACAAATTAATAGATAAATT